TATATATATATATATATATATACATATATATATATATACATATACATTTATATGTTTTATATAACATTCATATATTATTTAGATAGCTACTTGCCTAGGCAGTGAAAATGGATTGAAAATCACAGTTGAAGATGCAAAATGTATGCAAGCTAGCGCATATATTCCATCTGTAGTTTTTGATGAATTTACTTTGGAAGAAAATGTGACGTTTTCAATAAGTTTGAACATATTAGTAGAATGTTTTTGTATGTTCTGGCCTACTTCACAAGAGGATTCTGTCACAGTGCAAATGTTTTACAAAGTAAATTGAATACAATCTGTATTATATATTATGTTGATGCAATATATTATTACCTCTCATAGGGCACAGGTTATCCTGTAAGCATTCTAATTGAAGAAGATGGTGTCATAACAGACTGCTCTTTAAAGACTCTCGAAGTAGATACATTATTAGATTTTTATCTTGAGGCAGAAACTGTTGTAAACAAAGTAGTAGTGCAAACAGAATTGTTGAAGGATGTTATAGCTGAACTGGATCCAACTAGCGAAATTGTTCAGGTACAATGAGGTTTATATTTTGGAAGAGATATCACATATTTATATAGAGATATGTATATCATCGATGAATTATTTCTTTACATGATAATTTAAAGTATTACGCGCATGCATTTCAGTTACATCTATCAACGAAAGAACCTTTCTTTAGAATTAGTACAGAAGGTCTAGGTGGTATTTGCCATATCGACTTGCCTCATAACAGCACTTTAGTAGACACTTTTCAGTGTGCGTCTACGGCAACTGCTAGTTTTAAATTAGTGCACATAAAGCCGGCAATGAAAGCATTATCATGCGCTAATAAAGTTTCCCTGAGAACCAACAGCGCTGGGCTATTATGCTTTCAATATATGATTAAAACCGAAAATGGACACACCTGTTATATGGAATATTACGTAAGATTTTGCGTTACAATAACAATATTACTTTTTCAATATTACTCTTCTCTTTTATTTTACTTTTTACTTATATGTTATAATTAGGAAATTATTCAATGTGATAGATAGTATATATTTTATTTACAGATTTCCCCATTAATTGATGTAAACGATTAAATACTCATTTGAAATACGTAGTTAAATAATGAGCACAAAGCTGCATCAGAGTTACTTATTTTTTCTGTATGTAACATTTTTAATTTAAATATAAAATTATATACTTTTGTATATTTTGTCATTGATACTTTGTATTTTCATATATATAATACGTCCTTATTTCTTATATTTCTTAAATGATAAAATTATTATTATTATTTATACTTCTAAATGTATTCTATTTTTCTCGTTCTTATTTTTAACATAAAAATAAAAATAACGAAGATAAAGTTATTCTTTAAAGTTACTTACTGTCAAAAATGGAATAATATTCTGCTACACGTACACACGCACACACGCTCGCGCGCGCGTACACATAAATAAGTTAAAATCAAAGATAGAAAACAAGAAAAATCGTAATGAAAAAGCATGTATATTTCCATTTCATAATTCATAAAAAAGAATATGTTGAAAATAGTGATTATACAACACAACAGGTAATACATACAGATTGCTGTACTTAAAACATAATTTACTAGCGCGAATTTGTTTTATATAAATGTAATATACATAATATTGTAATATTATACATAATATATAAATATTTATTTAAAAAATATACACAAAAATGTGAATGATTAATTACCCTTTGAAATTTTATTATATATATTATATATATATAGGGTATTCCAGAATTGGTGTGACATCTCTCGTAGGCAGGTAGAAGGAGTAAAACTGATTCGAAAAGTCCTGAACCATTTTTTTCTATTATTTATAATAAAGGAGTAATTATTGAGTAAATCAGGCCAATCACCGCCGATTTTTAGCCAGGCGCACGTCAGTGAACCGCGCGGAGCGCTCACACACACCAAGGCGTGGCTCACTGACGTGCGCCTGGCTAAAGTTCGGCGCTGATTGGCTTGATTTACTCAACAATTATTCCTTTATTATAAAGAATAGAAAAAAATGGTTCAGGACTTTTCGACTCAGTTTTACTCTTTCTACCTACCTACGAGAGATGTCACACCAATTCTGGGACACCTTGTATATATATATTATAACGCAATTTTATAACGCATGCATCACATATTATATTTAAAATATAATAAACTTGACTTGAGATTCGTAATCGTGTTTCTTGACTTCGTAGAAAAACTATTGTGTGAGTAATTTTGTCAATTACATTTCTTCAGAGCATATAATAAATCGTAAACACGTCCAATATTATGCATTAACGCATAGATATATACCTCATTTGCGTTTAAACAACGTTACAAGCAATACAATTTACACGTTTTTAGAGTGCTTCAAGATGAACACACATACATTGTGCTCCTTCAAGTATTCAAGTTTGGAACTTCTATTCCTGAAGCTTATAAATTCTTGTGCAGACTATGTCATCAACTTTCATGACCTATATAACAGAAATAAATAACATACTGTTAGTATGTATTTCACACACACACACACACACACACACACACACACACACACACACACACACACACACACACAC